ATTTATAAATTTATCTAAATATATATTTATAAAATAAATTTATCTAAATATATATTTATTTAGTGATAGTTAGCTGGTTGGGTCTATAAAACTAGGTGCAAAAATTATTTTGTTTTTAAATAATGATACATAAGAATATTGTCTAGTTCTACCTTGTTTTAACTTTAGAATTTTTCTTTAAAGCTACCGTCTACAAAATAACATCTGTATGAAGTTATTCATTGCGACATTGTTTGTGGTAACAAAAGATTAGCAACAAGCTATTAATATGGGGACTAATTAAATAACTAATACATTCGAACACTGTACTTAAAGAAAAGATTTCTAAAAGAGTGGTTTGAGGAGCTCTGAGAGTCCCTGAAATTCTTTCAGGGGGTCTGCAAAATCAACACTGTTTTTCTAATACTATTAAGATGTTATTTGCCCTTTTCAACTATGTTGGTATTTGTTCTGATGGTGCAAAAGCAATGGTGGGTAAAACTAGTGGTGCCTTAGCACGAATCTTCACTTCCACACACTTGCGATAGAAAACAAAAGCATTTCACTCAAGAATCTCCTAGATGAAGCAGTGAAAATTATTAATTTTATTAAATTCTGACTTTGAGTTGGCCCCAGTTGTGTGGTTTTGAGCTAAACTAGCTGGGTTCCACCCCGCCCCGCCCCATAGAACACTATTTTTATTTGACAGAATGAATGACTGACAAACTATGGTTATTTGGACTTTGTTGTTTGACCCATATTTTCTCAAAAATGAATGAAGTGTGTCACTTCAAGGAAAACAACTAACAGTGTTTGTTGCCAATGATAAAATTCAAGCGTTGAAGTGAAAATTAGAATTTTGGAAAACCTGTATCTACCACGATGACCTTGATAGCTTCCCGATACTTAAAAAGACTCTTCTGATGAGATGGGTGGTGGTATTAACAAATGTAATTTTTTTAGTGGTGTGTAGTGAATTGTGTCAACATTTGGAACTTCTGTGTAACTCAGTGAGTCAGTATGTTCCAAATGACCAATTCGTGATGTTATAAAACGTCTGTGTAAAAGATCAATTCAAAGTAGAAGATAGAACAATCGGTTTTAACGTAGTAGACTACAAAGAATTCATTGATAGTTTCAGATTTCATATTGCAACTCACCTTTAAGAAATGACCAGTTACCAAGTTTCAGAGAAAAATATCCACAATTATCTGAAAAGGCTATTAAAATACACTTTCCTTTTCTGTCTACATATCTGTGTGAGGGAAGATTTTCTTCATTTACTTCAACCAAAACAACACATCACAGCTGATTCAATACAGAAGCAGATATGAGAATCCAACTGTCTTCTATTAAGCCAGACTCTAAAGAGACTTGCAGAAATGTAAAAACAATACCACTTTTCTTACCATTTTTTTTTGAAAATTATTTACATATGACTGTAGTTTATAATATAAAATATGTAATTGGATTTTAACATTAAAATATGTTAAAATGCAATGAGTTTATTGTCATTTTAGAATGAATTAATACATATTTTTAAAACCCAGTTTTAATTTCTAATATGGTAATTATTGATAGATATAACCCACATTATAAGCAAAAGCTTTTTGGAATCTTCAATTATTTTTAAGAATTTAAAGAGTTCCTGAGACCAAAATACTTGAGAATCACTGTAATAAAACAGTCTCCAAGATACATTGTTAGGGAAAGTGCAGATCAGTGTGGTTGTATGTTAGCATTTGTGTGCAAAGGGATATAAATGGGATACTTATTTTCTTGTCTATACATAAAATTCTTCTGGAAGGATGTAGAGGAATTAAGTGTTGGTTGGTTCAAGGAGGAAAGAATAAAGGGTAAACTCTACTCTAAACACTTTTGAACTCATTTGAATTTTAAACCAGATGAATGCATTACTCATTAAAAAAAGAAGAAATGAAAACATTCCTACCAGCTATATTACAAATTGCAGGGAATCTAGGTCTGTTATGAAAAGTTGGAGCAAGTTTGGAGTTATGGTTATTTTTCTGGCAGCTTGCTTTTTCTTATTTTGTTTGAGAAGAAAATGAAGCTTGCTTATTTTAAGGGTAAAAAAATTTCATTTACTGTCCAAGCCAAATACATTCATTTTGAAAGAATGTAAATCAAATAGGTTGCAATTTCCCCAATGGCCCAAAGTATACTGGACTTAAGTTTTAAAGAGGAACAATTTGATTAGTTTTTTTTTTTTTAACAGCAGTTATTTCTAAGTTCCTGGTAAAGAGATTGGATTTAGTTTAGAAGGCTGTTATAATTTATAGTCCTGTCATTTAAAAGGTTTTGAATAAGTGGTGCATGAGATGTGGAAGTAAAAAGCTAAGTAAATGTTCTGACATTTGATTCTTTACAAAAAGTGCTTTTTAATACTCATAACCTTTGAGGCTTTGGGAATTCTTGATTTCAGAATAAAGAATTCAATTTTATTTATTCTGTCTGCTATTAAGTGTGCCTTTTGATCAATGTTCGTACTTTTAACTTTGGGATAGATAGTGTCCTTTTTATGAAAAGGGAAAATTATTTTAGTGCAAAAACTCTTCAGATTTTCTTTTTTTTCATATAATACTTCTAAAATTTATTTTTTTGAATACTGAAATATCATTTCCAGAGTTCTTTGAAGCAGTTTAGAGAAAGATATTACAAGTGATTCTGTTCATTAGTTATAATTAAAATTTTGCTCATAATGTGGAACCATTTTCTCCAATTTCTTTAGTTAACAAAGAATGCCTTTGGTAATGTTAATGGATTTTTCTGAAGTATTAGACAAGTGGGAAGTTAATTCAGAAAGAAGGTTACTTACTCTTACTAGTTGCATATACATGTATAATATTTGACATTTTCAAAACACACATTGTTTTCTTTGATTCTCAGCACATCTTGGAAGTAGCACAGTTAGTTGTTTTTCCTATTTTATATATATGGAAATTGAAATTCAGAGGGCTAGATGAATTGCCTAATGTCATACAGCCTTGTGAAATAGTAAATTAGCAATTTAGATTTAAACAAGGCTAGATTAGATTTAGATTTAAGCAAGTTTAGATTTAAGCAAGACTGTCCTTGCAAAAAATGCATTTATCTATACCTACTATGTTCCAGGTTCTGTGATCAGCACTGGTGATGTCAAGACAAGACACAGATCTTGCCCTCCAGGGGCTTAGAGTTTAGTGGCAGAGACTACCCAGTAGGAGACGTGAATAAGTGCGATGGTGTCCCATTGAAGGGCCATATATCTCAGGTAGTTTTGAGGAACTGACACAAATCTTGAAGGATGAATAGAAGAAGTTAGCCAGGGTGAGTCAGGTTAGGGAGTGGTGATAAAGGCGTTCAGGTAGAAAATTAGTCAAAGAGGCCTGAAACAGCACACTAATGTTGTTTGGGAACTGTTACTAGTTCCATATGATCACTGTGCTGGATTACATGTAAGAAGGAGCAGGATGTGAAAGCAGAGAGGTAGACAGTGTGCCCTAAATTGGAAGTTTGAACTTTTTTCTCAAGGTTTCAGGGTGCTTAAAAAGGAATGTAACTAGATGGAAGGACTGAGATGGGCCAAGGTTTGAGTCTTGGTTCTTGGGCTCAATAGCTGTGGGACTGCAGTCAAGTGACTAAATATTTCTGAGCCCCAGTTGACTCATATGTAAAATGGAAGTAACATTCAATTTGCAGGCAGTTAGGAGGACTAAGAAAAATAAATGTAAAAATAGCACCTAGATGCACCAAACCTGTAGATAAATACTCAAGAATGGAAGATGAATTAAAAGTAAGGACAGTTCACAACACATATTCTAAGCTTCTAAGTAGAGTTGAAAAAAATATGAATTAAATCTTATTTTAAAATAGTATTGGAACATTTAGACATTTCTAAAATAGCTTAGCTGAAATGGTTTTATAATTTTAATGTTTAAGTTTAATATTTAGGAATCTTTCAGTGTGGCATTTCTTTGTATCCTTGTTTGAAAGCAAGACTTTCTGTATATGATGTGGTTGTCAGGTTAGGAGACTGCCACGAGTAAGGCCTTGTGTAGAATCTGTTTGGTTTGCGTGATGTTTTGTGCCATGCCCACCCCCCCAACTCCCTGGCTCAGGAATAAATTCTTAGCTGGAAGACCTGGATCTGTCACCTTCTTACACTCTAATTTTAGGCAAATTACTTGCCTATTTGTATGTTTCTTCAATATTAAAATGGTACCTAATTAATTTAGCTCTAGAGAATAAAATGAAATAGCCCATGGATACGTGTTTTGTAAAACACAGTATGTTAGTCTGCTTGGGCTGCCATAACAAAATATCACAGACTGGGTGGTTTACACAACAGAAATTTATTTCTCACCATTCTGGAGTCTGGATGTCCAAGATTAAGGTGCCAGCTGATTTGGTGCCTGATGAGAGCTCTCTTCCTGGCTTGTAGACGGCCACCCTCTTGCTGTGTGCTCACATGGTGGTTCCTCTGAGTGTGCAGAGAGAGAGACCAAGTTAATACAACCGAGTTAGTATAGAACTCAGAATGTTACTGTGCCTAAGATAATTATTAAGTCTGTGCCACTTGCTTGAGTTTCTCCCCCCCCCCCCCACACCACTACCGCACCTGACTCCATTTTGTCCTTGCCCCCCCCCCCCCCGCCCCATTCCAGGCCCAAATATAGTTTGGTTCCTATAGAAAATGTCCATATAGTTCAGTGATAATTTTTAAAATCATATTGTTTACCTTACTTGTGAATGCACCTTTTTACTCACTAATAGAGCAAGCATTTTAAGTAACATGGTAAGGTTACACAGTTTTTAAAGACAGCTAAACGAAACCTCAGTTTTGCATAGTAGATTTTGGAGCAGAGATAGAAGTCTTAACTAAACTTCAGGATATAAGCCTCCTCCTTTTCTTTATTGTAATTTCAATATGAATTTTAGACTGCTGTTTGCATTTTAGATTGTGGGGGAAGGTCTTTATACTTGGTTTCCCAGAATGATAACATTTATATTCTTTCTTACAGGCCAGCCCTCCAGATCTCTATATTGAAAGGTTTAATATAGCTCTTGGACAATATATGGGAGCATTGCAGAGCATTGTGCCTCTTTTCATATATATGGTAAGTTAGAGCTGTTTCCTCCTTCCAAATACTTTACTTTATTGGTCTGAGCACAGATAGATGCAGAGTTAAGCATGTTCTATTTTTATTTTACTATATGTTATGTTAGAAATGGAAATTAATCTATTTCAGTAATGTTTGATAGTGTTGACTTCGAAGAATTATTTACCCTTTTACTGTTTTAAAATTTCACGAATAACATTGCTGAATAGACAATTAGGCATAAATAATCAGCAGTTACCCAGTTAGCATTTATGTTATTTCTGCCATATGGAAGATACTGTGCTTAGAAAATAAAGATATATAAGAAAGATTCCTTGTCTTCAGAAAGTAGAGAGTTAAGACACGTATGTAAAAACATGATGTATGATAAATACCACGTAAGTCATTCCATAAAAAAGTAGAACAGTGAAATGTGCTTCCATTCTGATTTCTCTTTCATTTGGAGAATTATGCTGTGAGTGTAATTTGTAGTCTGTTGACTTTGTTGATTGGCCCCCTCCTCCTTTTAAATATATAAACTCATAGAATCTTAATGTTAGTGTTCCTGTTGACCAGAGGGACCCTTAGAAACCATTATCCCAATTCCTCTTTGTTTATTAGACTAGGGAATGGGATGTTTAGGTTGATCCTAGCTTGTGTAGCGTAGAGATTGCTAATGTGGAATACCAATTTTCAAAATGATTTATTCTCCATAAGATATACTTTATTGAAAAAACAAAACAGAACATTAGGAGAAATCTGTATTATCAGCAGGGGACTGTTATTTAAATAATTTATGGAAGATACTTGAGTAGAAAAATACTCAGTTAAAAATAATGACATGTCTGTAGGTTATTTTAGAGAAAAATCTTCCCAAGTTACAACATAAGGTCAAAAAGCAAGGAGCAAAGCAATGTGTAATATTTTTTCATTAGCAAGTGTTTTTTTCTTTGTTGGGGGGGAAAAAAAAGCATATCCATGTATATGCAAGCAATGTTTTAGAAAGAATATTCAGAAATTTTCCCAGTGTAGAATGGGACCTTTGGGAATGGGACAGAGGGTGTGCTCTGGAAGGCTTCTTGTTATTGCATACCCTTTTGCATGATTTTATTTTGTAACCATGTGCATGTTATTTTTATAATTTTTTAAAGAGAAAAATAAACTTGTGTTTAAGAATTGGGGGAATTGGGGGGCCGGCCCTGTGGCTTAGCGGTTGGGTGCGTGTGCTCTGCTACTGGCGGCCCGGGTTCAGATCCCAGGCGCACACCAACGCACTGCTTGTCTGGCCATGCTGAGGTGGCGTCCCGCATACAGCAATTAGAAGGATGTGCAACTATGACATACAACTATCTACTGGGGCTTTGGGGAGAAAAAGGGAAAAAAAAGGAGGAGGATTGGCAATAGATGTTAGCTCAGGGCCAGTCTTCCTCAGCAAAAAGAGGAGACTTGGCATGGATGTTAGCTCAGGGCTGATCTTCCTCACAAAAAAAAAAAAAAAGAATTGAGAGAATCAGTGAGCAACTTGTTAACATTCCTCTTTGTATTTTCCACCCCTGTACATTGAGTTATTAACATTTAAACATGAACAAATCCAATCTTTTTTGGCTTGCTAGTCGTTCTAATCAGGATGCTTTTGGCTGCAAGAAACAGAAAACCTGATTCAAAGTGATTTAAGTAAATAAGGAAAAGTATTATCTCTTGTAATAAAACTCCAGAAGTAAGGCAGTCTCCCGGGTTGGCTGAGTCTGTGGTTCAACAGTGTTACCAAGGATTCAGGTTCTTTTTTGTCTCTTTGCTGTATACAACGTCTGTTTCATCTTGTTCTCCTCATGATTGTAAGATACTTTTCACTCAACCTGGGTTTCTCTCAGTCTGATTGGGCTACCTTGGGTCACATGTCTACCTTTGAACCAAAGACCATGTGTAGGGAATGCCATAAGCTGAATGCCTTAGACTAATCATTGAAGTGGAGTGTATGTTGGGGAGTCAGCCAGCATATGTCCACTGTCTGCTTTCAGCCTAAATCATTGATAAATCGTGTACTTTTCATTAGTGTTTCCCGATATTGCCTTTACATGTTGATGATGTATTTTTAAAGGGCATGGTAAGTGCATGTCACACAGTGTGGTTCATAGGTCTATACATCCCTGTCTAGTTAATGTTGGGTATCCTCCTGTGTTCTTTTGAAGGTGTATGGTTCATAGCATTTTATCATTATGTGCTTTTAACCTCATGCCAGAAAGACATATAACTAATAGTGGCAGGGTTTTTGTTTTTTGATGTTGGGTTTTTATGTTTTAATTAATGCCTTCATGAATTGTTTCCTAAAATAATTTATTTTTTAGTGCTTCAGTTCATTAGACTAGTCATTTCCCTCTAATTGATGCACTGAAAAATAATTTATTTCCTTTTTCAGAATAAGTTTTACATCGAAACCAAGCTTAACAGAGACTTAAAAGATGACCTTATAAAGCTGTTTACGGAACATGTTGCAGAAAAGCACATTTACAGCCTAATGCGTAAGTAATTCAACTTACAGGGGTGAGATAACACTAGCAATGATCTTTTTTTTTTGATCAGAGAGCATTGGCATATAAACCCCAATGTTAACGTCTTCTGAATCACATAGCAGGAAGTGTTGAAGCCCAGTTCTGCAGAGAGAGACACTGAGAAACTGAAAACGTGACTTGAAGGTCACCCAGTGAGCTGGGAGCAGCTTTGCCAGGTCATTGGACAATGCCTTTTATCTGGCCTAATGCTGGCTGCCTTTTTTTTTTCCTGACAGGTGGGGGAAATATTATTAAGGGATTCGCCCCCTATTTTGTTACTGGTCACTGTAGACGGAGTGCAGTGTTATATCTTTGAAATGGTAGTGCAGAATCCTCTCTGATTTTTACTCTTTAGTGTAGAAACTCTTCTCTAGTCTGGCTCTATATTATTGACTGTGTCTTTGGTAAGCTTCTTAGCCTCTGATACTGCGTTTTCTCTTCTGTGAATTGGGATTTGTAAAATGTTTAACGTGGCTATGTAGATGATTAAGTAAGCCGGTCAAAGTGCCAAGTTCAGTTAGTTTTTCCTCTTCCCCTGTTCTCAGGCCCCTGCCACCTCACAGAGGTGGCATCTTATCCAACCTTTCCACAAAGAATATACCTCTCCAAGTGGAGTTTAGGATGTGGCTACAACCTACTGTCACAGCATCCTTTAAAAGCTTATGTTTTATGCAGTATATCATCAAGTCATTTTTTAGAATGTGGCACATATTTGGATGTACAGTATGTATTTTTTACTTTCCTAATAGTCATAATTAATTCCTACCACAATGAACTTTTCCGCAATTGACAAAAGGATTGTTCTAAGCCTTACCACAAACTCTTTTTCGTTTTTGATTTTTAAATTAAGAGAAGGAATTGTTAAAATTGGGCCAGTTTATTTTAGAAAGGCAAGGTTTTCAAATAATATTGTAGATGAAAATAATATGGTCATTATTGTGCCCCGAGGAAATTCCAGAATCAGAATAGAGGCCTAGAATCTTGGGAGTGTGACATTTTTTTTTAAAGCCTGGCCAAATGTTTACAAATATCTTTTAAACATTATCTCATGAGATATTTCAGGCTATTAATTATAACCATTTGAGTATTATCTCTGATGTTAATATTGTCTTTCGCTTTTATTGTAAAATAGAGACCAGCATTTTAGAGTCTTTCCTGTTAAAATTCTGTAGAGAAATGCTGCTATTTGGTGGAGAAGCTTGTTTACTATGTAAATATGTTTTTATATTTGTCATAAATTTGGAAATCAATTTTATTGGGCATATACAAAGAGAATATTCGAAGAGAATATAGTAGTCCAAATCTGGTGAGAGAAAACAAACACAGAAACATACTTCTTCCTTTCGTTTTTTTATAAGGTCTGATTTTCAATAAAAATTACACTTAAAGGTGGATGTGCCTGTTCTTTTCCAAGTAAACCGAAAAGGCCGTTAAGCTTTTGTAAATGAGAGAAAACTGAGTTATCAGATATTTATTGAGCAATTACCAGGCATTGTGCTTAGAGTAAGGGACACAAAAAGTGACCGCTGGCCTCTCTACCAGGAAGGAGTTGGTTTGGGCTCTGTAACAGCAAGGGACTCTGTAAGTGTTTAATAATGTTATGTGGATGATCATCAAAAGGATTTTTTTTAAACGCACACACACAGTGCTTACTCTGTGGTGTAGGACCTGTTCTAGGTAGTTTACAAATATTAACTTATGTCTTTATTATAACTCTATAAGGTAGGTACAGTCATTACCTCCATTTTATAGGTGGGGAAACTAAGGCATGGGGAGGTTAAAATTAATTTAAACCAGAAAAGCACAACAGTTAAGGATTGATGTCTTGTCTCTAGTTACATATTTTCCGGTACTCACCCCCACACTCCAACAAAACAAATAACTACTCTCAATTTCTATGATTTTTAAAAATCTGATCAGTAATTTCCTTCTTGTGGCTTCAGATACATTTGGAAATGCTAGTGTTTCATTTACTATTACCATGTAACAAATCACTCCAAAACGTAGTGGCTTAAAATAACAGCTGTCTTTTATTTTGCTCACAAATCTACAGTTTGGGCAGGGGTTGGTGGGTTAGTTTATCTCTGCTCTACTCTGCATTGGCTGATGCAACTTAACCAGGAGTTGGGGACTTTCAAGATGGCACACTCAAATGGCTGGCAAGTTGTGCTGGATTTTGTTTCCTCTCTTGTGTCCTCCAAGAGTGAGCGTCCAAAGATAGAGGAAATGGAAACTACCCGTTTCCTAAGTCTTGGGCTGGAAACTGGCACCGTGTCACTTGCTGTATTCTGTTAGGCAGGCAGTTATAGAGCCCAGATTCTAGGGGAGCGGATCTGGACACACCTCTCATTGCCAAAAGAATTTGTGGGCCATGTTTTAAAACCAGTACAGCAGGGCAAAATGAACACCCTCTCTGCTGATAAATAATTGGTACTTGAAAGCGCCGTACTAGCAACTGTTTCATGAATGAAGACAGTGACTTCTCACTGCAGATAAAGCTAGTTTTCTGTCATCTCTCCATGGTATAATCATTTTTTCATACATATAAGCTTATAAAATGGCGTCTACTTTTTGCTGGTAGTAAACTTGTTTTCCTTTGAAATGAATTTTTACTTTGCATTAAACTTTGAAAACAGCAGAAATACTAAAATCTACATTAATCCAGGTTTCTACATTATGTGGTATTGTTGTGTTGATGATTCTGAGCAAATACGACAAAATAGGTTAGTTAATGGTAGAACTTTCCTGAGAAAATGTACTATGTTGAGTTGCAGTAGAAGATTTATAGTTCAGTTTGCACGGAGGGTTTTAAATAATTACATTTCAGTTATTATCCTTAGGAGTTATCTTTTGTGTTTTAGTTCAGACCCTTGTAGTTTGAGATTTTTTGAAGTCAAGAGTATTTTTAGTTTTAGTTTTGATTTTAAGAATTGCTTCTCAAATTAATAAAGGAGAGAAGGCCCTGGGCAAGCTTGTAGCTCAGGAATAATTGAAAGAGCAGAGGAACTTGGTTCTGGTCCCAGTTCAGCTATTAAAAGCCGTGTGACTTTCAAGAGGGCACTTAACCTCTGTAGACTTTAATGTCATAATCTGTAAAGGAAGAGATTAGCACTAGAAGTTCTCTAAGGTCCTATTCTAGTTTTAAAACTATTGACTTACTGACAGTTGACCCTCAGTGGATTGTTGGAAGGTCCTTGTTTCTTTTAAATTATATAATTTTTGGAAGAAAACTGTTACTACGGGTAAAACTTGATTAGTACCAGTTTGCATATAAGATCAGCATTTCAGTGATGGCGTGGTGAAGTAGAAAGAATACAGAATTTAGAATGAAACACAAGTTCTTGGGCCTCTTCTGCCACCTGTTAGTTCTGTGACTTTAGATGAATTATTCAGTGTTTTTTGTTTTGTTTTTAGCCTCAGTTTCCTTATCTGTAAAAAAAAAAAAAAAAAAAGGGTAGATGATGATAAAGCTTGTGAGAAAGTAAATTCTAAATTAAATAAAGTATATGAGAGTTAAACATAAGGTAAAGTACCTAGGACCTGTTAAATACTCAATAAATATTTTTTTTCCTCTCTCATGCTACTGTTTCCCCCAGAGTCCCACTTCTTTTTCCTTAAAAGGGGAGATCAATTAGAAAATCTTTTAAACACTGTTTTCCTCAAAAGAGTTTAGGTAGACAGGATTTTAGTGAAATGTTATCCTTCTCAACTTTAATAATCTTTTGTTATTGGATATAATTATTTCCAATTAATTCATCCCAAATTAATTTATATACATTTTATGTATAATTTAACCTGTGAATTTATCATTGCTTCATAGCTGTCAAATTTGACGTAGGTGATTATAGTTATGTAGGGGTTGTTGGCAAATGTATATATTTGACCACATGATGAATGTGTGGTTGAACGTGAAGAGTTGGTGAGAACAAGACTTACTGAAGGCCGGAACGACTGTCAAAAAGTACGACAGTGGATTAATAGAGCCTGGGTTTTGGGTACATGTTGAAATTAGAGAGAACCTCGAGTAGAAGAGAGTCTCTGAACCTCAAATTTAGAATTTCAGTTTTTAAACATTGCATTTTAAAACAAGATTTTCTGCAGTGCTTAACATTTGTTATTCTTAAAATTTATCTATGCCATTCAAAATTATAACTATCTACTGATGATAAAATCAGAAGGATAAACTTGAACAGTGCACCTCTGGCCTTCATCATACCAAGTCAAATGTAGCTCACGTTGTATGTTTGAAACCGTAAAATCATTATAGGCCAAGTGAGAGGGCGTTCCCATTTTTAAAAAGGCATGGACAGAAAAAAAACAGGTTACACGATTTTATAAGCCTAGCTTAGAGTAAAATTATGCCAAGTTTTATGGGTTTTTGGTTAGTAAATTACAGGTCTTTGAGAGAGAAATTAAAAATGAACTTTTGAGTCAGTAATATCTGTTATGTCCACTGAATAATGGAATTTATTTGTATCTGTTAATGATGTTGTCTAGAGGAATTATTCCTATCCATTTAAAAATGTTGTAGTAAAATTTTTTTGTGGCAGTAGATAACCTGAAAGAAAACTGACTCTCTTGTCACGTTCTGTCTGGGCCACGTGGTCGCCAGAGTCAGGAAGGTGAGAAGGATGAGCTGGTGTGATGTGTTGCCTTTACCTTTAGTGAGAAAAGAAAAGGACGTGCAGCTGTAGCATTTGGGAAAGTGAGTTTCTGACTCTGATCGCAGTTACTGAAACTACTAATAACGTGTGTTTCAGAAAACTTCCAAGAGCCTCAAATATGGTGATTGGGGGAAAGAGAAATGATTGAGTGAGTTAGAGAACATTCTATTCCCCAAATGTGTAAATCTTTTGAGTCATGAACTTAGTGGGAAGCACTTTCAGTGCACTCGCTGAGTACCAGGAGTACTCGTGCTTTTAGAGAACTTTACTTACTTACTTATTTTCAGAACCTCCATGAATTGAGTCATTTCCATTAGTGTGTCAACAGCCGTGCTCGTATTTACTTGTTAGATCGAGCTACTGCATTGGATTTTTAAAAAAAGTCTTTAGTGTGTGATCTCTGGTTTGTTCTCTCGGGCTGTTCTTTTCTTGTACTTGTTGACCCTTCAGTCTTTGGGAGAAATAGTAATAGGAAGCCAAACCTTGACAATCAGGGTTACATCATTTTTATAACCCACTTTCTCATCTTATTTCAGCTTTACTTTTAGAAGCCCAGTCAACACCATTTCAGGTCACACCTTCAACTATGGCAAATATTGTGAAAGGCCTGTACACTCTCAGACCAGGTAAACATTCATCATTTATTTTTGGGTGGGACTTGTTTGTTTCTTTATGACAGTTCCAGCCTTATCCAAGAGAACATTGTTTCTCTGTGTGTTTTCTGATGCCTAATGGTATTTGGATTTGCTATAGCAAAAAAGTTGAGTAGAAACTCATCGTTGTGAAATGTAAACTCAGGACTCACTTGGAATCCTTTCTCTACTAGTGAAAACCGACTACTTTGGGAAATACAAGAAATAATTTATAGGAGACACTTTAGATAAAATTGAATCTCATGTCTGGCCTTAATCTCTGTCTTTTTTGTTACGGGGTTTCTCTTTCACTTTTACCCCACACTGCAAATATGCACAGGCATGCACATTCACAACTCCATCTTAGGCCTGTTATGTAACTTGCAGGGAATCTAGAAGTGCTGGTAAAGTTACGGTCATTTCATAAGGATATTTCGAGGAGAGATACAGTCAGGATGGCAGAACCAAAAAATCAAAGGTCTGTGTTCAAAGGCTTGGTTTGTAAATTATCTTAATGTATCAATCTTAGACTAAAAACATTGTGAATTTAAAGGAATTCCAAGATACTTTTGTGTATATCTTCCTATTGTAAGCTAGAACCTCAAACTTGTCATACAGTTGTCAAGCCAATTAAAAAATGTTCATGGGAGAGAGATTGTACAAGTTCTCGAAATAGAACATTGTTCTAATCCGGAAACACAAGAGATGGTTTTTTGACAGTAATTACCTTTTTGTGAAATTCTTTTGTCATTTGAGGATTAAATGAAATAAAATGTGATCTAAAGAGCTTAACACAGTACCTGATGGTATAATAAGCATGCTAACATTAAGTGTTGTTATTACTGGCTATTTGGGTCCAACGGTTATTTTATTTTAAGTAATTGATGGCTTGATCATTTGCTTAGATAGATATGTCAGAATTTAGCTTGCTAAATAGAAACCTAGTGAAAACGGTGGTACTTGAGATAGACTGTGATGTCAGAGATACTTTTTTTCTCATGCTACTTTAAACAATTAGTGACTTCTAGAGTATTCAGATTTAATGTTAAATTTGGATCAGGTCTTGCTCTTGTTATAACTTTTTACCAAATTATTCATATTAAGTAGTTACTTATATAAAAAATATTCTATTGCATGTGTCCAATAAACCAGTGTTTTTCTAGCATCTCAGAATTTTGAATTTTATTTTACTAAATGTGTTGAAAATGGCTCATAAATTTTTCTTTTAGTGCTAGGTTATGAATGATTTTTTTTTCTTTTATTAGGCATCCAAGTGCAGTATGACAAATTTCTAAATTCTGCCTTCCAAGCAGGCAACTTTATCATAAGCTCTGGCTTTTATTATAAGTAACAAAATTGCAGAATAAAACTAATCAGTGAGGGTGGAAAAACCTATAGATACATGTTTATCTAAATGCTGTTTATCCAGGTTTGAGCTCTTTTGTAATAAGATTCATACTACCTGTGAGGAGAATTCTGTATTTGAGGATTGTCCTTTTAAAAGGTGAATTTTTGTCACAGACTAACCTTTTGCTACCTGAGGCGTTTTCTGAGATACTATTGAACGGATTTTTACATTTACATGTCTTGCCAGTACCCATTATATTCCTGGTTTATTAAAGCAGTTTTATTCATCTGATAAATTTAGGTTAAGGTATTTTAAAAGTAAAAGTTTCTTTCATTGCAGTGGTTCTCAAGTGCTGATTTTTGTATAATGAATGCATCTGAATCACCCAAGAAAGTTTTTTAAACTCTAGATTCCTGAGCCCTAATCCTTGGAGATTCTGATGGCTATTACCATTTTTGGTGTGTTTCCTTCCATTCTTGAGAAGCTCATTTTAGAAATAGTTCCAGTCATCCCATCCTGCCCTTTTTAGTTTAATACTCATGCTTTTCTTTGTTTCTTCTTCTTTATTTAATGACTGTCTGGGGTTCCATAAAATGGCAGATCGCTTTGACTCCTGCCGGCTCTGATTGGTTAGTGGTTAGTGGTTCCCTGGAGCGCTGTATTGAGACTCTTTCTAAAGCCATATTTGAGCTGAGCTGGAAGGAGGGACACTGTTGAGAACATGTTGCCATGAGTTTGTACAAGGGGTGAGTGGATGGCCTTGTGTCGTTTTCCGTGCTTGTTTTTTTGCCATCTCTAACTTGGCTATTCTCCTGTTGGACATTTTTTTACCTACCAATGACCCAGCATTGCACCACAGCATTTAACATGTTTTTTTCAGATTTAGAATTATTTACTCATATTACAGTTTTTAAAGTGAACTCACTGGATTAGATAGAGCATTGACATTTTATGGTTTTTGATATATACAGTCAAGATATTTTCCAAAAGGGAAAATTTAAGAGGGCTAGATTAAAAGAATCCAGAAGGGATAACAGTGCTGTATTAGGCCGACCAACAGGGAGGGCGATGCTGGTTTCCTCACACCCCTGCCACAAGTGAGCAGTGTGTATGTTCAGTGTCCAATGAGGAGGGGGAAGGGAGTGCGTTTATTTTAGCCTGAGTTTTTCTGAATATTAACAAGGCTGTTATGTATTTTTTCTTGTGAATTATTTAGTCCTATCTTTTACTTATTTATTTGGTCTTACTGATTTGTAAAAATGCTTTATAATAAAAATACTAATTAATCTCTGTCATGTCTGCTACAAATATTTTCCTTAGACTTCTCTTTGCCTTTTTATTTATGAATGTTTATTTTTCTTTAGATTATTCTCTTGATCTTTTATATTTTTCTTAATAACCATTTAATTCTCTTTTCTTTTACTGTTATATATAATTTGCTGTGTGATTTAACATGGGTCAAAATAGGTTTTTATTTCAAAAGTACTTCCCAGTTATCTGCAGCATTATTAAATGGTCAACCCCCCATTTTTGTGGTACTTCTTTTTTTATATCTCTACTTATTACTACCTGTACTATTCTATTCTTGGGCCAGGATATTGTTTTAATTAATGCTTAATAGGGCTAGTATTTCCACCAGGCGCCTTCCCTCCAAGTCCCCTCCCACTCTGAATTCTTTGGTTATCTCATTCATGTTTTTCTCTGTATTTAGAATTTTTGATAAGGTCCATTCAAAAATTCTCTGGGAATTTTCATTAAATTTTGTTAAATCAGTAAAATGTAAAAATATCTGCTTTCTTTATACTGTAAATTCTTTTTAGAAAGGAAATCTAATCTCTTTGTATGTTCTTTATCAGAATGGGATTGCACTAATTTTTTCCCCATTTTGTTTGGTTTAATATATTATTATTATTCTTTGAACAAAAGAAAACTTTGCCTTTTCCATTTAATTAACTTTGTCTATATGATTTCCTTAATGAATCTTTTCCTTCCCTCACAGAGTGGGTTCAAATGGCTCCAACTCTATTTTCTAAATTTATTCCAAACATTCTCCCTCCGGCCGTAGAATCTGAACTTTCTGAATATGCTGCTCAAGATCAGAAACTTCAAAGAGAACTTATACAGAACGGTTTTACCAGGCAAGTTTTTTTTCCTTTTGTGACGATATATGTCCATTTCCTTGGGCTAGTTGGGCTTGGCGGGGGAGGGAATTCCAGGGTTCTCAGACCAGGAAATAACTGTCCCAGAATCAGGGGCCACTGCTGGGAGGGGTAGTTAGGTCGCTGTCTCGGGAAACGTTGAAGCTGGGTTTTGATTTTATGGAAGCTGCTCTTCACTAAATGGACTTGAAGAAGGGACTTTTTTCAATTGGGTGGGCGGTTAGGCTGGGCAACCTCCAATAGCTCTTGCAACTTACTAGTTCTGAACATTTGGAAAAACAATGTAGAAATTTTATGATTAGTTATAATGTACTTTTATGACTAAACTAGTGAAGAGGCTTTAGATTCTGTTTTTCATAATTTCACTTTTGCCCTAAATTCTAGTTGTTTCTTCTTAAAAAGTAAGATTTCTCTTTATATGTGTCCAGAAAATTTGCCTCACTTGACTTCGCTAATTTTTCTAAAATTTGCAATTCAATATCATGGCTGTATCCTGGAAAATTTTGTGAAGTGCATATTTTCAGCTAAAATTATATAAAAATTTTGTGATTCCCTATGGGAAAACAGCTGTGTCACCAGATCATTGAAGGGTACAGTAATACCTTATATTTTCATGATCCATACTCTTTACTTAGCACTTTTACATATCTTTTCTTATTGGAATCCCTGGCATTAAAAGAAGACAGACACCTGGCCTCCTCACTTAGGCATGGTTGTGACCACTGGAGATGGATATTCTCTTTCATAGGTTCTGAGGCCAAAGTCCCAGAATATGAGTCATAACCAAGATCACTGTTACTAAGTCTTTAGTTTCAGCACAGGTTAGGAAAGAAAGCAGATAATTTGTTCTTTGTTGGCCGATGGGTTGGCATTTATTCCAGTCTTGTCCCTGCGGCGTCTGTTTTCGTGTGCTGGTGGTGGTAGTGAGTAATCCACTGGTCATTTGCCCCACTGACTGGCAGCTCGCACTGGAAAGGCTCAGTGAAGCCGTGTAGATAGACCTGGTAAACCCGACTTTATTGTGTCAGGTTAGGGGAAGGAAAGGCCAGTGGGAAACGATAGAATGTAAACAGCTGGTTTTTCTCCCTGATGCCCAGTGGTCAGGTGTTTCCTGACGTTAACTGAAGTATTTCTAATAGTGGTATTATTTTCATACATAGAATGAGGCCATTTAATGCCATAGTCGTCTTACTTATTCATTTTTGAAGAGCTAATGTATTTATATGGTTCAAAAATCAAAATGATACAAAAAGTATACATTGAGAAGTTTTGTTTCCATCTGTCTCTTCATCTTACTCCCACCCTATTAGGTAACCATTTTTATTAGTTTCTTATGATTCCCTTCACTGTTTTTTTATATACAGATAAAAGCAAATACAATATATGTTCTTATTTTTAATTCTTTCTTACGCATTCCATCGTGTAGATATACTACAAGTTACTTTACTAGTCCCCTGTAGATGGCAACGTGAATTATTTCCATCTTTTGCTATTACAGAGAGTGCCACAATGAATAACCTTGTACATGTGTAATTTTGTACCTGTTGCTGGTATATCTGGAGAGTAAATTTCCACAAGTGGGATTGCTGGGTCAAGAGGAAATGCAGTTAGAATTTTGATTAATATTGCCAAATTGCCCTCCACAGGGATTGTGCCATTTTGCATATCCACCAACAGAGTTTGACAGTGCCTGTTCTTCATGGCCTTGCCTCTGGGGTGTGGTGCTACCCTTTTGGATTTTTGCCAATCTGGCAGGTGAAAAATAATTACTCAGAGTTGGTTTAATTTGCATTTCTCTTATTATGAGTGAGGCTGAGCGTGTTTTCATGTGTTTACTTTTTCTGTAAATGGCCTGTTTTTGTCCTTTGTTCACTCTTCTCTTTGATTGTTGGTCTTTCTCTCTTAGTTTCTAGGAGCTCTTTCTGTAGTGAAGAGATCGATTCTTTGCCCAAGATGAAACAGTTATTTTTTTGTTTGTCTTTTGACTTTGCTTATGGTGGTGTGTTTTTATTTTTATTTTTTAGTTTAAGTCATGCAGAAGTTTTTTATTTTCGTGTAACTAACTTTATCAAGTTTTTTCTTTATGGCTTATGTATTTTGAATTATAGTTAAAAGTTTTTCCTTAAATGTTTTTATTCATGTTTTATTTGAATGTTTGCTTTTAATTTTAGAGATGAGCTTATTGATGCCTTTAAAAAATAAAGTCTTCTGAAAACTTTTATTTCTGTGAAACAGTTTAGGAAGAAGCTTTTGTGGATTTTTCTGAACACCTTGAATTCACCTTCCAGAACAGTTTGTGGGACTTTTTAAACACATCCAGAGACATTTTCCTGATGCTAATTTTGGAACTAGAATAAGAGAACAGGGTGCAGGAGTGCTTGGTGTGTAGTAGCTGTTATGTCAGATTTGCTTGGGATGAGATGAGTAACCGACTCCATAAATAGCTGCTTGTAACATTGCCTTTGTACGTGAAGGACTGACAGCCAAGGCCAGGTTGGTCACATTCAGGGCAGTGCCTTGGATTTTTGATGTAAATTGGAATTTTTGTTTCTCTTAGTGGAATTCTTTCATACAACTTTTGCCTGAAATTTAAATGTTAGAATTCCAAGTGGTGATAAAATTAAAATGTTTTAGTTTATAAACATTCATGAATTGGGCCATTTCTAGAATTAAGTTAACAATTCATTAGATATTTACTATGAGGACTAAAGTCTGCCTCATAAATTATCCTGATGGCGCTTTGCACAAAGTAGGCCCTGCCTAAGCTGACGTTCTCAGACTCACTCTGCCCACTGCCGAGCTGCCCAGACCACTCAGAGAGGGTGTGCACACACCGTCTTCTAGCAGCTGAGAGAAAATCTGCCTGTATTTCCAGCTCTTGTGCTTGCAGCTCTTGTTCCACATTCTGCCCTGCCTGGCTTGATACCTTCTTTGATCATTATTTGGCTAGGATTGTTTTGGAAGAAATGCTGTCCACTGATGCAAAAAAATTTGAGAATATAGTACAGCTATCTAATAAGAATTCTGTTACTGGCTGTTCTGATATGAAGAGTCTTTTTATGGTTTATGCCTAACCAACCACGTGATTCCTGTTTGGCTGTGCAAACTATTTTTTCATTTAAGATTATGTTCCGCTTAGATGATGTGGGGAGTCCTGAATAGGCAGTACACAGCTTTAATATGGATGGCACAGAGTAAGTCTTTGAAATGTTTTGAAATAATGTGTAAGTGTTGTCAAATATATACTCTTGCAGTTAATGGACAGATTCTCATTTGAGCTGGAGTTTATGTGAAAGATTTTTAGGTGCCTGGAAATATAGTATGGATGTATTTCAAAGCTAGAATTAACATATAAGCTAAAAGCAACATTTTCTTTTTATCTGTTACCTGCATAATTGAATTGATTATTGTGGGGTTGAGCAGGTTAGTGTCTGTTGTTGTCAAAGATTACATTATGGAAGATAAGCTCATTTGGGAACTTCGAACATGCACGTCCTCACGTGGAGCATCCTCATTCACACAAGCCTGCGGTCCTCCACCAAGCGTCTACCAAACAGCTTTTAAAGGCAAATAAAATGTTGTTTCTGAGTAATTGTTACTTGAATTTCTGAAATGAAATAAAACTTTATAGAAGTATTGTTGGTCTTCTAGCCGAGAGGGTTACTCTAGAATTGGGGCTTTTCCATTTAGTAGCAGGGATCTTGTTTCGAGCGCAGCTTGTAGCCTTCCGGACCTTGGCAGCCTCTTGCATACATCACATTTACACTCTCTCTTCCCTACTCCTGTTGTTCTCACATCTGTATTTTTCTCCTGTTATTTTTGCACGTTCAGTTTTTATTTAAGCTTTGAGGGGTGGGACTGAAGGTTGTCTGTAGAAATTGAGGTTCCAGATATAAGATCTTGTATCTTTCTTTTGATCAGCACTAACTTAATTATTTCAGAATATTTGATCAATGCTACTGTGATGATACTAGTGTAAATAATAATGTAAGACACTCAGCTGGCTTTGGGTAGGTGTAGTGTTAACAATAGAGCTGTTGAGAAGGGACATTAGAATGTCTGTCCCGAGCTCTTTAAGCTGCCTGAGGCTTGTTCATGCTACATGTTGTGGATGTTTTTTTCTCTAAATGCTCAGCCTAGAGGAAAACCCTTCAAAGGCCATTAAGTTTGTTCTCTTTCTGCCAGTCATTAAGACTCCTCCCAACCCAAGCAAGAGGTTTCTGTCCCGGTCTTGATCATGACCAGAGAAAGAAAGTGGGAAACTTTGGCAATCTGGAAGATTAGCAGGAAGTAATTATTTGGACTAGCATTTTAATAATCCATCTATAGAGCCATTTATGAGTTATTCACTAATTCGTTAATTCAGCAAATGTTTATTTTTTACAGTGGACACCGTTCTAGGTACTGGGTGAACAAGACAGGCAGCGTTCCTGTTTTTATGGTGCTTATGCTCCAATGTCAGGAGATAGATAATAAACATGTAAACAAATTATTTCAAATAATAGTAAGTGCTGTGAAGAAAATGAAACAGAGTGTGGGATAGAGAGTGAGTGAGCAGGGTGTGTGTGTGGGGCTTTTCCATCTCACTTGGTAACGTGATGCCTTCTGAGGAGGGGACGTTGCAGCTCTGGTGCAGGTGATGATAAGGAGATAGCCAGGTGGCTTACTAGGGGGAAGAGTGTTGTAAGTACAATAGTGCTGACATGTCCAAGGGACAGAAGAAGCCAGAGTGGCTGCATTGTAGTGAACAGAGGTAGAAAATGAGGGTGGCAAGGTAGGCAGGAGCCATATCTCACAGGGCTGGGCAAATGAATTTGAATTGATTTTTACTCTAATGGAAAGCCACTGTGAAGGGCTTTAATCAGAGGCGTGAAGTAATCTTTTTTATGCTTTTACATGAGATCACTCTGGCTCTTGTCTGCACTAATAATAGGACTCTTGCAGTTGTGTAGGGGAGAGATGACGGTGTCTTGGACTGGGATTGTAGCCCTGGGGTTGATGAGGAGTGGCTAATTTTGGATTATGTTTTGGGATAGAATGCTACAGAGTGAGGGAAAGAGAGAAATCAAGAATGAGCTAGGATTTTGGCCTGAGGGATCGGGTGGAGAGTAGTGCAGTTTACTGAGGAAGACTGAGGAAGGAGTGGGTATGGAGTGGAGTCAGCAGTGCTTTCTGGCCAGGGAAGATTTGCGATATATATAAATCATCCAGGTGGCGATGGTGATGAGGCAGTTGGACCTACCCGGCTGAAGTGTAGGGAAGAAATCAGAGCTGGAGATAGAATAGTCTTTGACCCACTGGCATGTGGATAGTATTTCAAGTCACAGGACTGGTATGATCAACATCCTAGATGAAGGAGAATATACATGAAGAAAAAGCGGCCAGGACAGTGTTGGGCAGGGCCAAAAGTGTTCCAGGAAGGAGGAGAAAAGCTGTGTAAGTGCTGCTAAAGGACCGAGGAAGAAGAGCTAGTGAACTGGTCGTCATTACTCATTACTTGAGCATTTTAGTCATTTGTCTGGATTATTGTCTGAAAAACTGGAGAGACAAAGATAGAATTTACAGGTAGCATAGGACCTAATCAGAACCTCTATTTTCTTCTCTCTAAAGTGGAACTAGCACCTCTGCTGTAGGTGTTTGAGATGAGCTGGTTACTGTGTGTGAAGGTTCATGTCCTTCCACCCGCAAGAAGAGTATTCAGGTACATTAAGATTCTGAGAGTTTTCAAAAACTAAGCAGTTCTTGGTCTCATAATAGGGCTTTTAGGGAAGATTTTGAATTATTCTCTCTATCGCATATTTGAAATTTGCCCTAGTGTATGGAGGTCACCAGGGATGTTGATAACAGAACCCAGGTTAATCTTCAAAGACCATGCTAGTCTGAACCTATGTGGAACCCAGTGTAAATCATCTTTGTAGATAATCCTTCATTTAATAGCTTTCTGTATTTAAAAGACAGCACCCTTTAGCTACGAATATTCAGGTTATAAATGACTCAACTACTGTTTAAGTTTAATGTGTATTTTAAAATAGGTGGATGGGTTATAATTGAACTGTTTGCTATACTCCATTATCAGTTATGTCAGTTCATTTCTCCTGTTTTGGTATTTGAAGATGTCAGTCAGTTCTGTTGACTCTCTCTTCTTTTCTTATCCCCAGAGGCGACCAGTCCCGGAAGAGAGCTGGGGATGAGTTGGCTTATAGTAAGTAACAATATTCCGTACCATCTTTGGTGGGTTCGTGATGTAAGGCAGCCACTGGTGGGGACCATACAGTGAGTATGAGGATGTCCCTAGTTCTTGAGGGTGCTCTCATAAGGCAGTGTGTGTGATCAGGTCAGACTGTTCTGCAAGCTGTGGCAGCTCTGGGGTCCAGTTGGTGGTGGTGGTTCTCAGGCACTTGTCAAGGGGCTACCAGATTCTTTAGTCTCTGTGGGAATGGGATAATGACCCAGTCTCAGTCCTGATGATCTAGCCCCCTTTCACTTCACTCAGAACCGCATGGTTTTGAGTTTTTGGTTTTTTAAATCTCCTTTTGGGGGATTGGGAGAGGGGTGAGAAATATATGTTAAATACACAGATTGCTACCATTATCTAATGCTGTCTGCTGTTCATACTTTTTCCTGTTCTGATGTTTTCTTTCAGACAGCTCATCAGCATGCGCAAGTTCCAGAGGGTACAGATAGTGAATGCATTGAATGTACTTTCCTTCCTGAAAAGAGGACACTGGAGCTGCAGAGACTATTGAGAGCACAGCGGGGGTCCTGCGACACGCAGGAGCTCTGTCACAAAGCCCTTCTTGGAAGAAGATGTTGGACTTCTTACTTTGGTCTGTAATTTTAAAAAACAAAAAACTAACAAAAACAAAAAAACAGTCAGTTGCTGCTAGCTTGGGGATGATTTTGAAATGGGACAATCCTTTAATGAATTTATCTACAGATTCCGTGAGGAACAAGCGTCTTGAAAAGTGCCCATTGCTCAGTGAAATCGGGTAGCCCAAATCAGCAGCTTCCTCCAAAAATATAAGAGCAGAAGAATCGTTTTTTTTCCTAAAGCACTTGACTCGTTCATTTGTGGACTTGGCACTTCGGCATATTGGTTTTACACATCAAGATATCTTTTGCTTTAAAATCAAGCGGATCATTACAGTATTTTTCACCCATAACCAAAACAAGCCCCTTTAAAAGAGTTGGTCTTTATTTAGCATTAGAAAGTCTCATTAAGGGAAAATGCTAACTCTGCTTTCGCTATAACTCTCCCCCCATCAGTTCACAACTTTCTTCTACTCTGTGCCTTGAGCTTTGTGCACTTTGCAACTCTGTGACCATGTTGTCAGACTCACAAATGCTTCCTGAAAAAGTTTATGGTATTACAGACTAACCCACCAAGATGTCAGGTGTGACTTGGTAACAGGATGCGAAGTAAGTGGGAAAATAGAAACACGTGGGCACATTGGTCAGATTTCCCCCTACTTCACCTTGGCATCTTCATGTTAACGTTGGGGACCAACTCTCATAGAACATTTCCATTCCCTCTATCACTTACCATGATTTCACCAGCTGCTGTCATTGGCATTATGCTAGTTTGGGGGAGGCGGGACCTTAGTACTAGAGCTCCCTTTTTAATATTGTTGAGAATTATCCAACAGTGAGAGCTGGTTCCTGTGACGCTGCAGGAAGCAGATATGGTTATTAGATCCAAGTATAATCAATGGTCTGGGATTCCTGATCCATTTCATTTTAAATGGGTGAAATAAGTACTTAAAAAAACAGTCTGCAGTCTGCATCTTTTAAACCTTCTATTCGAGTATAATAGAGAAGCAGCCATGCTGTTTTAAGGCTCCCTTTCAGCTGTGGCAAAGCTATATTTTCTGTTTTTCTATACCCACAGTGCTATTTAGTTCCTTATGAAAGACTCTGAAGCTTATTCTAGTTGTTTTTGAAAGGCAAAGAAAAATAGAAAGATGTGGCAAGGGAAAAATATTTTTCTTCTCAATTTTGCTTGAATCTAAATTGAGCATATGCTTGACTCTATTTGGCTATGTCAGACTAATATTTACTCTTTAGAAAACCTAGGGCAGAAAAAGAAGACGTATCAGGGATGCTGTCACACTTGTGGTTTGCAGATTTTTCATAGGGTTGCCTCTGCCACTTCAGTTGATCCTTTTTTGGTGAGTGGCATGGGTGGGAGAGTTAGAAGTGTGATATTCAGAGCCAGTAAGTCATCTAATAGAAGTCCTCTATTTGTAAAATTATTATTCAAAGAAGTAGAAGTAAAGGTGGTCAGATTTATTTTTTTAAGTACTTATCAACCAGAGTTGTTGGATTTTGTGGAGGACTTCGAATTGGACACATTTAACTCTGTGAGCATCTTGGATTGTATTGATAAACACTGAATTACTGTAAGAATATATACAGGCTCTCACTATACCCTGTACAGTTTGATTTGCTGCACCAGTAACATTCTAATATCATGGAAGAATTCCATTTTATCATGTAGTGTCCAAATTTTCCTTTTCTCAGTGGAATGCTTGCTGCAGGCTTATAAAGAACACTTGTACCTGGAGGGTCTCCTGAGTGGTTTTAATAATATTTCTGAAAGGAACAAAATTAGAGTGTTTCTTTAAATGTGGATGAATTCTTTAGTGTCCTAATAATATACCCAAACGCTTTTTATGGGAAAGACTGTTCTTCTTTGGCCAACAATGGAACTTTCCCTATAAAAGCATCGTATTGTGATATGAATTGGCATTAAAACCTTTGGATGCTTTTGCATTATTAAGTTAATGGAGAAATATTTTATATTGTCTTCTTTTTATTATTATGTTTGTGTTAAAAAAAAGTGGGCAGCATAAAGTTTGCAAAATTTAGTTTCTCTGAATTTTTGCACCGGGACCGTAGTCAGCTGTGGGTCAGGGCTTGGTTACTGCAAAGCCGTGATTGGAATGTGCTGTAGAGAGAATACACACGTTGTCCCAGTGCATGTGACCTGGTGGTTACTCTTCTTGGCCCCTTGAGGTACATTGCAGTATGAAAAACCTATTTCTTTATTTCAAGTCGAAATTGACCTTGCTTATTTAATTGGGGTTCATAACAAAATTCTTAGTTTGCAACATGAGAGGAAATCAGATTTGCCCTCCATTTTGTATTGACTAAGCACTGTTTGCCAGAAAGTATTTTCTTCTCGTGTTTACTTGCGTTCTTCTTGCCAGTACAGTATATAGTTTTTCCACTCCAGTTAAGTACTGGCTTTTGTGGGGCCCGGATCATTGAAGACAGAAGATGGCACATGCAGCGTTGGTTGTTTCATTAGTCAACGCATGCAGTTGATGTGGCTAAACTGACTAGCGTGTGTGTGCAGCCTGAAACTAGAGCCTCCAGAAGCAAGCCAGTTCGGTCTCCTGGAAATCATGACATGTAAAAGTAAATAGATGATCATTGTTTTCAGAGATAGTACTTATTTTAAAGATTGGCCTTAAGCTTCAATGACAGTGTCATCTCGTGTCCTCTGTTGTCACTGCTGCACCCTCACCTGACAGGAACTACTACTTTGTTTTCTCTGGGGCAGAAAGCAAAACCTGGTCTAGTGACTCTTAACCTAGTAGTTCTTAGGTGGAGGTAGTGAGAAGAGACACAAACCTGGGTGCATGAGTTGTGCATTATTAAATTTTGCAGAAAAGTTACTTGTATTTCCTGTCCCTTGTACAAGTTTGAGGCAGTTCCTCTCCCTTTCTTTGAGATACAGGATGAAAACTGATTTTTGAGTAAGCGAAATTGCAGAAGAATGGATGCCCGCGGCCATTAACGCCGCACACGCATCTGCAGCGCTGCAGCCCCGTGAAGCCGCCACTCCCCTTGCTATATGCCATGCTTTCTGTTGGGTTGCAAATTTGCACACGTAAAGAATTCCTCAGGAAGAGTTTGCACATGCATCACCTCACAATATTCTGTACTGACCGAACAAGGGATTTGAAAGTTTCTCAGCACAAAAGGAGAACTTCAGAGTGGTGATCTGTGCAAATGTACTAGCAAAGGTAATGGTAATCCAGCAAACACGGTTGGTTTCTGCAGTTACAAAGTGAACAGGAGCACTTGTATCATAGTATTTAAATAAGCCTGTTTAATCTCCCAGAGTAACCCTTCCAGACTTTGTCTTCTTCTTACTGAGGCTGGCTGTATTTTCTTCTGTTTTTTGTGTTTTATTGAAGTTAATTATTTCCATGATTATTATGCAAGAGGCGTTCCCCTTGAGCTAAAATTCAGTTGTTTAATAAGCACCTATTATTAAAAAAACTGAATATTGTTTTATGAATATACACTAATCTGAGATATTAAAAAACTTTACAACTAAAAAGCAAAACAAAAAACCTACATTAGCTATCCAGTCATTGTTTGGATGTTTTGAGTTGATTTTTGTATGGTGTCTCATTGAGCTTCTTAGCTCAGAGTATTGTGTTTACTTTAGTCCCGGTCTAGGCCTCTCAAGGGGACTTTAAATTTTAAGATCAGGTTGTGAATCCCTTGACTGACACCTATAAGAGGTTTATAAGACCTTTTTGGTTGTGATTACTATTTTCAATAAGATTACATGAGATGAAGTTCATGTTTATCAGAAGTTAAAATAGAGGTCGTAGGAGTTCATGGAGAAATGACTCTCCTGTTACTTTTATTACCTTGTTGAAATTTGCCCCCGTTTCTGGCCACCAGAATATGTGAAAGGACCCCTTTTCTTTTCCAAGGGAAATGATTCCTCTTCTGTCCCCACTGTTTATTAACTAAGTCATTGACACTTTCCCTCCTCTACTGGCCAAGACCTATTTTGACCCTCTTTTCAGAGCTGAGTGGCACAAGTACATACACTATTTCTGCTTATGTTGATGGAGTGCTATGGGAAAATGCTAATCAGAGGTACATTCTTATAGGACCCTAGCATATATTACACCCCTGCTGGTTGGAAATTATCTTCATTTCTGGTTGGACTGCATTGTTTAGAAGAATGTTAATGGCTTACAATTTTGGGAATTTATAGTGTGGCTCTGGGGTGAATTCTGTGGTTTGAAAAGAATAAATATTTTGTATTGATTCTCACATGTCATTTCAATGTTGTGACTATGTACTAAATGCAATAAGACTGTGGATATTCTTTTAGAAGGGTGTGTTTTGTTAAACAGATGGCAATTTAATTGCTGTCATTAGTCCTGTTTGTCAATATTACAGCCATGCTGTTCAGGAGAAATTATTCAAATGTGAAGTTGTGGGAAGCTATGGCTGGAAACAGAAATGCTTATGAGTAAATGGGAGGTCAAATGCAGACAAGAGGCTTTTGCCACCCACCAGCACAGCCAGAGCAAGGATGAAGCAGTGAAGTCTAGTCTGTTGGTGCTTGTTTGTTGGAAAGCGTGGTGGAGCTTAGAAGGGTGTTCTGTACATCAACTCTTTTATTAATCCAAGAAAAACAAAATGGTGGGTGAAACTCTTATTGACCGGGGATTCAAAGCTGACTTTGGCTCTGACCTTTAACTTTTGGTGGATTTTGAATCACTCTTTCTGTATTAGGGAGTATACCGTCACTCTCAAACACTGTGGTTAATGAAATAAATCTTGTACAGATGTCCTTGGCCTTGTTGTGTTGACACCTGGTTCGCTGGAACTTTGTTATAATACAGAACCTGTGATTTTGCTCACAGTGCATTCAAATGCCTCTTAAATGATAACCACACTCGGGCACATGTCTGTTCTGCCATGGTTACTTAGCCCGCAGGGTAGTGTCCATCTTGACCTCTGTACCAGTGATAACAAAACTGTGTGTGTATGTGAGTAAGTGTATACATATATTTACATGTTTTATATACATATATAATATATATGCATATGGACATATATATGTAGTTTTTTTTCTTTCAACACTTGACATGTTATGGACCTTTAATCAAAACTTCCTGACTTGGGGGTCTTTTGGTTATACTGTGCTTTTTTAAAA